CTCCTTGTAACTTCGCAAGCTCAAGGGGCAAGGATTTTGGCGCACGGACCTTACCCAAGATAATACGAATGTCATTCGCGGTTGTGTTGTGCACGGTAAGATAAAAAGTTTGACTGAACCAAACAAAAATAAAAGTACATATGAATTTAGAAAGTTCCATGCCGGCTGAACATGTTACTAAAAGTGGGGGATGGGATAACAGCCGACAACCCAAATTTAATTACTTGATTGTTAGTGTTTTTCTTTTCAATTTAAAGTTAGAGAGCCTTCCATGTGGTGGTTATTGCTCTCTTCGATGACACTTGTGATGCAAATATATATTCTTCTTAAACCTCGTACTAAAATATAATATGCAGCGTAATTAATTAGTTGGTAAAAAATTTGGAACTATGTTCTCAATATATAAAAGTGTTGAAACTTTTATTAATATTTTATATTAATAGCATAATATTCTACAGGAACACCATTACTTTAGACAGCAGACAATACAAAATCAACATCCCTCTGCATAGTTATAGAAAGGATAATCGAGTTTATTACAAATTTAATAAATAGTATCTTATATTATACTAAAAAGATAATGTTATTTTTCAATTTGAACTACATTTAAAAACATTAATTTAGAATGAAAATTGACAAAAATATTACTCATAATATTTTTGTTTTCTCTCAATTCTAAATTAATAATTTTAAGTATAGAGCAACCATGAAAAAAAACATTTTTTATTCTAAAAAGACACTTAACTATAGAATGCTTAAAAGCATGTATAAAAATATGAACAACCACTTTCTCAATTATTTTAGACTTCAAATTTGTACGGCGTAGCTTTCGGTTTGAAAGGATCAGCTTCCGGGTGGCCAGAATTATCTTTTTTGAGGACGATCGTGCTACCAAATTCAATGCCTAGTGTTTTCCGAAAATCACCCCATCCTTTAACATCGAGATAGTATAGATCAGTACTGGACCGTTGCTCGCGGCGACACTTCCATGTTTTGTTACTCTTATTATCACTAGCATAGAACTCATTAGTTGGAAGTTGTTCCGAATTATCACCGGAAAGCTTCAATATCTTCTTGTCAGCAGGATTGTCGACTGTCTTCCTAAATATCTCATCCATTGCTACTGCTGGATGTTGGCTACGTACAAATGCTTTGAATTTGAGAACTTGATGAGTGCGGATTCTTTTGGATACCCTGCATGTGTATTTATAACAGCGAGATCACATGGATAATTCTATTAAGCATTGTCTTCACATGCATGTGGGCTGGCTTTGCCGAATGATGGGTGGATATCGATTGTCATTTTCAAAACATGGTTGCGGTAAGTTTCTTGCGAACCAAACGTTGCAAAAGTCTAGACGCGCGTATTGATGGAGTTCACACTCAAATTCCAATATTTTAAAATTAAGGTAGTAGGTATACCTAAAATGATCGATGTAATTAGAGATAGATTAATCAACCTGTCCTAACTGCTGGCATCCGCGCTAGCTTGTGCGGACAATTTTTAATTGATTTC